ATCACCTCATTTCTTGTACCAGCTGTTCAATCATCTGTTTCACTTTTGATCTCGTTCTTCTCCAACATCAGATTACCCATCATATTTCTTCTCTCCCTGCTTAACATTTTTTTTTCTTCTTCCTTCCCTCATATCCTTCAAACACTTTTGTTCCAATAAATGCTTTTTTTTAAATCGCCCACTAAGAGAAGCTACGACGACAGCGGATTGATCTCAAACACAAATGCATAGCTCAAATATTGATTATTCCTCACACTGAACATTATTCATACGTGTCGTTAAGTGGCTGCATTGTTTCGGCAAATCTCTTTTCCGCCGAGCAGCGGCGCGGATCTATAGCTTTCAGGTGGAGGAGGTCTCTTGAAGCATGTGGACGATATCTTGAAACGAGGGGCTGGCTGCCATAGCAACCATATGATGAGGCAGGCAGGGCTATTTAAAGGAATTCAGCTGCTGCTCACATTCCCGTCAGCTTCACACCGGCCCAGTGAAAGACAAAGAAAAAGATGTGAGTGCAAGAAAATATAGATCCTTATAGTTCCACCCCAACAATCTAATGTCTGGTACTAAGGCTGAGATTACAAAAAGGTAACAAATCCCTAACAGTAACAATCTAAATGAAGGGTTATTTGGGTTACACAAACAAACTATACATTTAACAATTGTTTGATTTGCTTTAACTCCTAATTTAATCTAGGTTTTTTTATCCGACACTCCTCGGTATTTATTTAGCACCTCTTTCTCCTCTAGTGCCAATTAAATAAATCTGATTTAATTGCACCTAACAACACACATAAACATGTGAATGCATCTTGGCATATCAGTGAGAGCGCGCTGCACACATTTGAGAACCTTTTACATAGAATGGACATGCATGCCCACACATTTCCTGCCAAAATGGACGCACACTGGTAAAATATGTTCCTGTTAAAAGATGTGCAAATATGAATTGTATAATGTAGCCAAAGCTTGCTTGCACAATGGTGGATTTTTTTTATTTTTGTTTTACGGTGATGTGCATATGCTTGAATTATCTGCAGAAGGGGCCACTGTAATGTCTCAAATTATTCATAATAAAAAAAACAGCATACTTTTTCTCTAGAGAGGTATTTCTCAGTGGACAGCAACACATGAGGAGGCAAGTGTGAGAGGAAGAACAACTGCTGTGCACCTACAGTGCCTTGCATGCCAAACAGAAAGAGGGGGAGCAAACAAAGGAAAGCACAATGTCTTAAACACATATTTCTCTGTCATTATAGTTGGTAGTAAGAAGTACACCTGAAGGAAAATGACATTCATTTCCCATCACCTACCGAGAGAATTGCTACATTTTATCTTAACCTCCCATGTGTCTCTGTCAACATTTAACTCTGTAATGATAGGCTGTGCTTCCTTTCTATTTTGCAGTTTTTAGCAGATATCTGACATCTTTTACTTCTCCGTCTGAGCTTTTCACCAAACAACCACCAAAAGAACGCTGTTTTGAACATAGTGTTCAGGTTATAGAAGTTAGCTTTCCACATTCAACAGATGAAGGCACAGATCAAACATTTACTTTACTTTAATACTGTTGCTAGTTTTTAGAAGAAGACATTTAGTTTCTACTGCTAGTCTGACTGTCTTTTGGACACAAAGCATAGCAGTCAGGATGGTATAGTATAGTATAGAGAGATCATCACATAACAAAAACAACACACTTTAATGTAGAGCTGTATCAATTAGTCCAGAAATTGCTAAGTCGATCGACAGAAAATTTATCGGCAGCCATTTTGATAATCGATTCATCTGTAAAGTAATTTTTCAAGCAGAAATGCCAAACATTATTTAGTTCTAGCTCCTCATATTTGAGGATTTATTGTTCTTTTTGTGATATTTTCTCAATTTTCTGACACTTTATAGACTAAACATTTCATTGATTAATTAAGAAAATAATCCGGGAAAAAAACCTAATTAGAATAATAATTAGCTGCAGCCATTAACAGACTTCTACCAATTGGTCTGTCCCAGAACAAGATATTGAACCCTTGCATGCTCCAGAATTGAGCATCTGCTAAATTAAATGAGAACATTTAATGATTTATAGGAATCTGTAGGTTGTTGGAACTTCACTGGTCCAAGCTCACAAGGTTGATAGGTGATTCTCCCTCTCCGGTGAATAAACACTCCTGATCTCTCTGTCCGTTTACAATGCTGATATTCTACAACATTTTAATTTGAAGTGCACAATTATTGGTGAAACTGCTGGTGTTCTTTTATCACTCAGTTGAGCCCAGCGTGCTGTTGCAATGCCTGTGAGAGCAGTCAGGAAGATTTAAAGTGCTTCATAGAAGCAAAATTATGAGTGACCTCTCTCGTAATACTCCCTCTGCTCTTCACTCTGCTCTTTATCTCATTTTAATCCCAACTCATTTCATATGGTAAGTAAAAGCTTATATCCCTCTTCACTGTACGTACACACACAGCCCTCATTCCTGTGGTGTGATTATAAAATTTGCATAGAGGATGTTGTTGGAGCTGTGGAGTGTTGAAGCACCAGAGCTGAAGCAGGGGGTTGTGGGTGGTCTAATGCCTGTCAGGTGTAGAGAGGTGGAGCAGAGACTCCCAGAATCCCTCATGTCTGGATTTATGATGAGAACTCAACAAGAGGAACCCAGAGAAAGTTCCCTCATGTCTCTGCACCACTCTCCTCACCTCAACTGGTTTCTAATTTGCATGTTCTCTTTTCACAGCTGTCACAGATGTAGCGAAGATTAGGAAAGAGGGAGAGCTGACTCTGCACCCCCCAGGGAGGACGCAATGAGATGGAACCACTTCTCTGCTTTTTCAATGGAAAACCGCTTCCACCATCAGAGCGCCATCTGCTGGCTCGGTGGGGCGGGACAGCTGGTGTTGTGAATCAGGCCGCCGCAATCCAGGGACCGGCTACTTCCCAACACCAGGGTCTCACCCTCACCCCTCACGTCTTGTCAGGCTTTGACCTCGAACCTGAAGGATTCAGCCAGCATATATTTTAAACTGTAAGTATAACTGACATAAGCTATCCTAAATACATTTTAGGAACTATATCACAACCCATATAATGCATTCAACAAGGATAATGACACTTTCCCAAATAAATGAAATTCACGTTTTAAAAATATGTCTGCTATTCTTTTTGAATCAGAAAATATTAAAAAAGTTCTCAAGATGTAATTTGTTTGAAAATATTGTCATTTTGCATTTTTTGTATTATGTTCAAAATCCCTGTGTTTATTTATCCATCACAGATTGTGTTCGAATGATTGGTTCCCAATAATTCATTATGAAAAAGTACCAAATACTCGTTCTTGACAGATTTGACAAAAATGTGTTGTAATCAATGGACAATGGGATCCCACAGGGCTCCATTGTTGGGCCTTTATTTATTTGATTTTGTGGGTCTTTTATATTCACATTATCCCCAAAATACATTATATATGTTTATTTCCAATATTTACTTGGATGTAAAACAAAAATTACTGGGCATTTATGGCTTGATTTACAGCTACTGGATTTAGGGGGAGACTGTGCAGGTGATATATCCACCTGCCCTATGATGTGCTCTATCAGCACAAATCTCAAATTTCAGCACTCTCGAATTTCAGTGCAAACTGATGTATTTTCCAATATGAGAGACAAAATGTGATTGCATAATCCTATGCAGTGAGGTTGGCTAAAACACACACCCAATCACGCAGGTTTACAGGAAGCACACATTTTATAAGAAGTGTGAGGAACAAGTTGTTAAAAATCCGAAATTGTATTTCCCCTATGTAAATACTTATCCTCCTTATTAACGCTTAGCCTACCCCCATGTTACTGACTTTAATGTCTAAAAGTGAGACGAGTCTGCTGTGAAGCTCATTATAGGACAGGCAAGAGAGCACACTAAGGTTAAAGGTGATGCTGTCTCTCTCTGCAAAAATTTAACTTCATGTGGAATTGCCTTTGCATACAGTATATTGTACAAGCCCCTGGACCTATAGGCTACAGCTGTGCATGTACTTGATTATATTTTAAGGAGGAAAAGCCCATCCCTGCATCAAGAACAAGAAAAGAAGAAAAGGTTTTGCCCCTGAACGCAAATACTGTAGTGTCTCATTTTAGGCACAGTTTTGAATTAAATATGTAAAGACAATGCTTCACCAGAAAATTACTTGAATACACAATATATATACCATATTTCTATATTCTAATGTTTAAACCAAAACTATACTCTGAGTGCTGCTAGAGCCATGACTGATCACTCCCAATTATTTCAGGAAAGAGAATTATTCCTTTTCCAGCAGAACTGTGAATCCCAGCACCACTCTTGTGCCAACAACACTTTCTGTTCATCTGTGTTTCTACGCAAAATACTAATAGTACATTCCCAGTTTGTGTAATACTCAGTTTCAGATCTTGAAAGAGTTATTATCAATTGTACATCTCATAACAGCTTCAGTTGTAGCTTTGAAGACCTGTGATAAACATAAATGCTAGGAATTAAAGTAATCACACACAAAGTTGGATCAACCTGATGTAAAATAAACCAATATATAGTAATGATATATAGTTTTTCAGTACAGTAATATAGTTAAATATTCCGCACCTGTAAATACATTTTTATTTTTATCCATTTATTTATTGAGTGATTTTTGTTCATGTTTTCTGCATTGCATTTACTGTTTTTGAGAGATTAGTGGTAAACACCCTAATAACAGATTAAACTAGAGATTGAGTAATGGGAATACGTAGCCTACAGTATTTTAGCATTCTGTAAATCATATAAACATAAATACCACAAACACCTTTAACAAACAGGAACGTAACATTGAGTCATTGGTTTACATGTGTGCTGGTTGGCTAAGGAAGAAATATTCATAGGAGCACAAAACAGGAGGCTTCATTGTCAGGTAAAACACATTGCGCATGCGCAGTCAGTCGACACACCCAAGTTGACATGTGAACTTGTAGAGAATAAATGTGAGCCGCAGGGAGAGGTGGGCGCTGGGGTTGACGACGTTACGCAGGTTTAGTTATAGAGAGTTTACACTTTATAGTAAGCAGGTTAAGAAAGTAATGTTTAACAACCTTCCATAGTCAGTGTTTTAATTGCCAGCATGCTCCCGTCTTCTAGCAGGGTCAAACTTAACCGAGTCGCGTTAAAAGACGTGAATGGGGTGAAAGTTTCGCGGCGGCGGAGAAAGGTTACAGCTGAGTCCCAAAACCAAGAGGAACACCACCCTGTTTGTGAACCAGTGTCCGCCTCCGTCCCTAGCAGCCATGAACCCGTACTAACTCCTTTAACACAGCAAATGGGCCCTGAAAATGTGACCGATACGACCGCTAACACCCCCGAAGGTACGCAGGAGGCAAATGTTGCACCATACAAAGAGGGTAATAGTGAGGGGGTTAAACAGGAGGGTCCGGACACTAGAGGCAAGTATCAACCGAGCAAAGCTAACACCGGGAGCAGCAGGTTGGATTGCCTCCGGAGGCTGTGCAACCTCAGACTGAGGTTTACTTGGTGCTTTTGCACCGCTTCAGACGGTGCATTGATTAAACAGACAGGGGTCCGCCGCCGGGTAAAACCGAGGGGCAAAGTCTCCAAAATGTCTTCTCAGAATAAGTTGAGTAAAGAGCCCATGGCCACAAGTAAGGCTCCGAAGAGCCAGACACCAGCGCATCTGAAGACTGCTGTGGGTACAAGTAAATCCAGACAAGGGGATATTAATCCTAAGAGCCGTGTGAGCCACGCTGCTAGAGACAGAGACAGGGACATTGGTAGAGCAGGGACAGAGACAGGGACAGGGACAGGGGTGGAGAGGTCAGAGGGGAGTCCGGGTCCGCTGGGTGGGATCCTGCTGCTGCAAACACTGGACAAGTGAGAACTGGAGCACGGTCGATACCCACCGGACTGTCAAGTAAGGTGCACTTTAGCTGTTGTTTAGCTGTAAGCTCGGTTAAGTTACTGCTACTGGACTCTGGTTAAAAGAGGATTTGTCAGTAGGTGAAAGCTTTTGGCTAAACTTTTGGGTAACTTCGTGTTTTTGGTTTTTGTTAAAGTGTGCTGTAACGTGTCAGATGCTAAGCTAACGACGCGGCTAAATCTTCTCTGACATGACTAACGTTACATTAAATGTTTTCTGTCGGTGCTGAACTATATATGGGATCCTTTTTTTTATTTTTATTTTTTTTAATTTAATGTTTGTAAGTTACCACTTAACGTGCAAGCTACCGACCAGCACACACCTTTCCCCCATAGTGAATTAATTAAGACGCTAACTTGCAGTGAGTGAAGCCCTTCCGGTCATGAACTTCATGTTCCGTCCCCTGCAGTACGAGCTAGGACCCGATGTCTTTACTTTACTGGTGTTACCTCTGTGCAAGACACAGCTGCATTTATCGTTTGGTTGCTTGGTAATAAGGCTGTGAATTTCTGCCAGAAGAGTGTAAGTTTCCATGAATTGCTTTCTAGTTCTCACATTGTGACAGTCAATCAGAACACATGGTAATGGTGTTTGGTGTTGCCCCATGTGGGACCGTCTCATCCACAACCTGGAAGACAGTCCTAGATGCTGCTCTGCACTACTCTTTATTGGAGGTGGAGAAGTTAACCACACATACATTTGCTACACCAACCATTCGTCCTCATCACTGAAGACGCCCTCTTGTAGAAACCAAAACATCCCTTTTGAAGAAATCAAAACATTAAATCTTCAATAAAGAGTACCTTTAAAAGGGCTTGGATTTAGCCTACTGGGGTCTCTGAGTTTGAGCCTTGTGCGACCCGTCAAATCTAAATTCAACCAACATACCATTTTTATACATCTGAGCCCTTTGTCGTGTTTATCTTCCCATCACGCTCTGTGTAGGTTCTTTGAGATTTCTTTGAGTGATATGTGCGATCCACAACATTTGGCATAACCATGAAGCAATAAGCGTGGTTGGAAAGCCAATTTTCTTCATACGCAAATATATGTCGATTTGTTTCGTCATAGTAACTATTGATGACAAAAAAAAAAGAGTTGTGCGCTAAGGCCAGAACCATACGAATCTCCAGATTTGTAATAGCTACCAAATTATACAGACCTTGAATTTTCAGTTTTCAGTTTCCCTCAATAACTTGATTCCTTGAAGAAATAGCAGGTAACTTTGAGAAAATGGAGGCTTTTTAAAAATGTCTTTTCATTGTATTAGGCATTTTATGTGAACAATTAAATAGACTGATAAGGTGACAGTTAAATTATAGAATAAATAAATTAAGTACACATCTGTAAAATATAGAAATTTGACAGTACAGTAAGACAGACCAAAATGGTCAATGAAATGATTTCAGCACAAAAAGCAATATTATGACAACATCCTCTGACCCTTACTGGCTGTTGTGCAAACATTTAATGAGACATCTGCTAATTTGCATAATTTAATGATTGAATTAATGAAAACAAGTCATAATACAAAAAGGTCATGTGTTTGGATCTGTATATTAATCTCGCAAAGTTTCATAAAAGTTTTTTTCCGCCTATTCCCGAATAGTGCTTGAGCCTAAATTCCTACGGCTATCTAATTCAGGTTTTTGTATAGTGCTGTGCTCGGTTAGACTGGTATGTGTGAACGTCTACATGAAATATTGGCCCTTGATTTTGAAATAACTTGTGCTTGAAAAGTCCTTGAAATGTATCATTACAGAAAAGAGGCCACCCTGTGCTTGGCAACACTTCCAATAAAGCATAAATCGTACCTTTGTGTGACCTGTCCATTTGTTTTTGACTGTTCAATGGGCTAATTGCTGCTCCTTGTGATTGATGGGTTTGGGGCGAAACAACCACTGCAACTGTGGGTTTTACTAACCACTAGTTGCGGTGGATGTTTTCCACCATAAAATAATAATGAATCCAACATGATGCTGCACATGAATACCTGCTTGGACAAGCCACACAAAGATTAAATTAATGTTTAATTGGAAGAGTTTTCAAACAGTATTTTTTCAGTTTTACAAGGGAAAAGACATCGGGGATGAGGAGTGTGTGGTTGATTTTGCAAATGCACGTCTTAGTAACATCACTAACTCTGATAACAGATACTGAGACAGTCCCAAATGACTTTGGTGTGAATCAATACTGTTAAGCCCCAAATAAACACCGTACCATGGTGATAGTGTGCGTTTACTTAATACTTAATCATTCAAGATGGCGACTGTTACGTTTACTCTTGCACTATTTGACAAGTTTTTGTTTCCACTTTCAGACATTGATAGAAATATTCACCGAAGCCCCACTTCACTTGCTGGTTCAGAAGGGTCTTTGAGAAGAGCTGTCAGAGCCTCCGGCTGTGGTCTCTGTGGTGACTGCAAATACGTCTCCCCTCAGTGGAAGACATCGGGTAAGCAAGGGCAAAAAAACAGTAGCCCAGGGCCAGAGCAGCCTACGGTTGAGGTTAAGCTCAAGGAAGAAAACACAGTCACAGAGAACTCTAAGAAGATTATTGTATGGATAGACCGGTACCCGAAGGTGACGCTGTGCGACATAGCCCAACAATGTGATGCTTTCAGTCACAATTGTGGCTACGTGTTACCGGATGTCCTCAAGACCAAGGTTGTGCATTGCTTCAAACAGGACATGAGAGCTGGATTTCAGTTCAGGCCCGGTTGTTTAGGGCAGAACAAACACGAAAGCGAGCAAGGTGCTCTGGCTAAAAACGGAGAGTGTTGTCCCAGGCTTCAGTCTCAAAGTCCGACTGAACACCAGAGACATCTGAAAGAAAGCACAGATGCACAGACGGTATCCAGTCGTACCACGTGTCATTTCCTCAAGAGTTGGACAAGTGAAGGCTCTGCAACCTGTTCTGCTTCATTCTTACTAGGTAAAAGTACAAAAAAGGGGAAGTGCAGAACTGGCATGTTGGACAGAGATGTTGAGGAGGATCCTGGACCAGGATCTCACCTTATAGGAGAGGGGATTCCCACAGACAAAATAATAAAGCTTGGGGATAGTGTTAAAGATGGGTTTTTGCCATCCACTCCAGATTCTTTAAAAAGCATTAGCTGCAAAAACTCAACAGAAACTGACTCTAGAGACAAAGAGAAAACAGGCTTTTGGATGTCTGATGACAGTCAGCCCTGTTCAAAGGATGCAGCTGGGGGCAGCAGCTCGGCTGTGAAAAAAGATGGTGTCTATAAGAAATCTTGGGGAGAGCTAGACAGTCTCACAGAAACTGATGCAGCACACATGTCATCAGAACTGTTCTGTGAGAGGAACGAGGTGGAGGTGGACACGGACGAACCAGACTCATTCACCTGCCAGAGAGTGAGGACCTATTTCAGGAAAAATGCTTTTTCTTGTGCACGCACATACATGTCCTGGCCCTTCTCTACCAATGGCTGGCCCCTTACAGCACGTTCTGGTACCACAGCCTCTCCAGCGGAGGCCATTGATCCACCAACTACAGATAACAGCGGCGACTCAATAAATCAAAATCGGCCAGGTTCATCAAGCAACCGAACCAACGACATGCTCCCAAATGCACCTACAGTCTCCCCTTCAGACACAACCCACCAGGTTTCTCATCAAAATGAAGAGAAGCGAGAAGAGGATGGAGAAAGCATTTTAGCAGAGAGAAATGGGAGAAGACATGGTAATATATCCTCATACTCTTCAGACAGCAAACACATGGGGTTTTCCTGCCACTTAATGGAGGCTGAAGAACCACTAGCTGCGCCAACCTCAGATACGGCCGCCCTTTCCAACCCAAGCCAGCGTGGAAGAGAGACCGTGACTGATGCAGCCGGCAGCTCCAGGTCCACCCCTTCCCCATCGGCTCTGGGCCTGAGTGACTGGGAAGCCACCACCACTTTGTCTTCCATGTCATCTCCATTCACGCCGGGGTTGAGCAGCCTCTCAGCCACACCATCCTCTCTCCCGCCTTCATCGTTCCTACTGAGGAAAGTCACAAGTGTTGAGCTGGCTGGTGGCTCTCCACCGGCGTGTATGGTCGGAGCTGTAGAAAAAGCATTGTTCCACTGTGAGGAAACCAGAATGGCTTCATGCAGTCCCTCATCCTCTGCTCCCCCACACAGCTCGGACTCCTTTCAGTCGTACGAATCCTCCCTCCTCCTCCCTCAGGACGAGCAAGTGAGTGATGAAGAACCTCTCGCAGGCAGGTGCCCACCAAAACTGGAGCCATATTATAATACAAGCCCCATTAACCATGATCTTATAAAAGAGAGATCACTGCACAACGTCCTCACAGATGAGTGTGTGGAAACGGACTCAAGTGAGTTTATGCTTCCACCAATTCTCTCTCCTGTCACTACACCACAAAGGCGCTCATGGACAAGCTTCCTGCCCGAAAGTCCTGGCTGCGTCGATGAAGAGGAGGACGAGATGAACACCAGCAAACACAAAATGATACCTGGATGTCACATCCCACACATTGTTAATGGAAATAATGAAAACTCCAAAGATTATCTTGAACATGGTAACAAAGAATTCGAAGTCTCAACAAACGTCGAAACGCTAAGTACTTTAAGGGTACCTCAGTCTTCTCCCAGCAGTGATGAAGATGTTGTCAGCAGTGATGAAGATGTTGTCAGCAATGATGAAGATGTTGTCAGTAATGAAGAGGAAAGCCAGGATGATGACGAAGATGACGTGGAGCAGGGTAGCCAAACAGACCCTAAAATAAAGGCAACCCTTACCTCAGGTGCTCTGACAAAACCCTGCTCTTCTCCCAGCAGTAATGAAAGTGACGGCGGAGACTTCAGTGACGAGGGACCGCCACGTTCTACTAGAGAAGAGGGGTCAAGTCCATGTGAATTAGTGAGCAGTGACGAGGATGAGACTAAAGCAGAGGCAGCCGATGACGCTCAGCAGGGCATTTTGGACGAGTACACAGCCTATGAACATGATATCCTGCTGGTCGACGTGGTCCATGATGACCCAGAGCTGTTTGAAAACCTGCCCCAACAGAGTTTACTGAAATTGGGTCCTACCAGGGTTACCGAGGCCCCAAAAACCATACCTTTTGGAGTGGGGAAAACACTGTCGCTAAAGATAGATGGAACCTCACAGGAGTCTGCACAAAGGTATGGTCTCATATTTGATAGCGTCTCCTTACGGTCACAGATGAATTGTGCTGTCCTTTACAAATTAAATTCCGATGTTATTTGTGTTTCAGATCGAGCCCAGTTATTGATTTTCACTGGAACAATCCTGATCTCACAGGTATGGCCACTGCAACAGAATCTATTAGATCATATACATTTCTGATTTTGTGACATGCTAGTTGCTAACTGGTTATAGTAACTGATGCTATAAATGCTCAGACTGGGGATTTTCTATCCATCCAGTGGTTTGCTAGACACAAATGAAGGGCAGCCATGGTGAGAATCATTTTAAGCCACAACTGGTCAACTCATAACTTGGAAACCGTTACAATGGAAAAACACACATTTTGTGTACATTTCTGCAAAATTTAGTTTGCAGTCTGAGCAAATGTCTATGCATCAGTTATATACACATTATTATAATGTGATCCTCCTGTGATTTTGTGATATATTTTTGGGGGGAATATTTTACAGAGGAGAGAAACGACAGACCATGGAGACCTCAATGTAGCAGAACCCCTTCCAAAATGCAAAGAAACACGTGGACTGCCACAGAAAAGCAAACCAAAAGCATGGTAATGTAGTGGGTCTAAAATTGTGTCATAGAGGGAACAAGGACCACACTTCTGGGACCATCTTTCAGCACTTTGCTGCAAGGCACCAGCCATTGCAACAGCATAGCTTCCTTGCCGTTATGAAGAAACAAAACATTACCAGTCTCTTGCACAAATGCTCTGTGCATTCCCCCCCAGTCCAGAAGGAGAGAGAAAGAGAGCATAATGCACACTGATGTTAAAAAAAAAGATAAATAAAATTCTTACAAAATAAATAACAAAAAATGTTTGGTACCATTCAGAATTATAACAATCCAACTAATTTACGCTAGGACTGTTCTTGACCTGACCGGTTTAGTTGCTGCAATAACAAGTGAACTTTATAATGTTAAATCTGTTTTGTGTTTTTGAACAGGGTCAGCCTGACGCCAACAACAACCATATAAATGGACTGGAAAGGTAGCAGTTTTTCACATTTGAAACATTTCTTCAGCCCAGTTAATATTGCATTGTTTTTGTAATCACCATGTTTATGTCCTGTAATAGGAGCCAGCCCATTCAGACAGTCAACTCCCTCCATAATTACATCCCTCCACTTATGACCATAAAAAATGGTGAGGGCAAAATGAAAACAACATAGACAGAGACCAATGTTTTAAACTGGTGTCCCTTGTATCTTGTTTGCATGTTTACTCCTAATGTTGTTTTTAGACCAGTGTTCCTTACGTGGAGTAAACTTCACCTGTGTATGACTGTTTTTTTGCTCCTCTGCTCACTACACAAGGGCCGAGGATCATAAACCCAGCAAACGTGGCAGAGTTTAGGCGCCAGAAATTTAGTGCTGTAAGTATTCCATTAAATGGTCACGGTCTTCCCACAAAAAAAAGGCCTCGTTTAGAAATATGTTTATTGGCTTTAGAATAAATTGTATTTTCTTGTTATTCCAAAGGATCTGACCATAATCAATCAATCTTACTGTGTTGTGCTCACAGGATACAAAGATACAGTGTCTAGAACAATTCTGGGAAGAGAAATGTATCATGACAAATTAAATTATTGCAGTTATGTGTCATGGAATATATATCATTTTAATAGTTAGTTGTTCAAATTTGAAAAATATGAGGTGGCACCGGCACAAGTGCTACATCACAGTCAATCATAGACAGCCAGTGCTTTCAGCTTTTTGACACCCTCTTAGCGATTTTATTCCTAAAAAGCATCAAAAGCTACAAATTTAGTGACTTATTCAGACAGTTGCTGTATATAAGAAACATGCTTGCATTTGCTTTGCATTTATTGATCAAACTAACAGAAACAGGAAACAGTAACTCAACCAATAGCTACAATAATCCGATGTGTGGTCTAAGGTCCTTTCAGTTTGTTATTCATATATAAGTGCAGGGAACACCCAGCAGAACGTGAGCCAATGAAGTGATGTGCGTTACTGAATTAAAGTTATTAAAAATACTTATGTATTCTGTAAAATGAAAAGAAAAACAATTCAATTTGGGACAATGACTGTTGGAGTTTGGGACAGTTGCAGGACACTGAGGGAGAAAGTTAATTTTGACCCCCGAGCACAGAAACCATTGTTGTGAATAAGGTTAGAGCACCACATCTAACTGTAAAGTACATGAAAAACCATTGTGAATATACTTGATATGCCTGGTGTCAATTTAGTTGTTTCTGATTTTGTCAGGGGAATTTTTGGGGGAATTATGCCAATGTAAAAGAGCACCCTAACTAGAGGACCCGATTAAATGCAGGTCTGCTTAAGAATAAATTAGGTAGCACTGGGTATAAATAACATGGATAAGCTTAGAGTAGTTACCGACAAGTTACTTAAGAGGAACAATACATAATGGAAGATTTTACTAATTAAGTTCACATTTAATTCATTTATTGGATTCATATTTTGGAAACACTACAGAAATTAGTTTTAATCAAATTAAAAACAAACCTAATTGTAGGCTCGTGATTTTGCATGAAGATCCATTTTTTCAGACATCATAACATTGTTGTTTATTTGGTTTGAGGCAGAAAATAAATGCCTGGAGACGTATTACAAAGACCCTAAGCTTGTTAATGATATTTAATTCAGATTTGTTTGTGTGTATATTCTCCTGCTGCAGACATGATGTTTTTAATTTTACTTGAGTAATGCAGCCTCCTCTCCTGTCCTGTAAACCCTCAGTACTGCAGGCAGTACTTCAGTGAGTCGCTGTCCTGCAGTTTCAAGATGTGTCGGTTCCAGCATGTGCCTGTGGAGGGGGATGAAAAGGTTGGCTTCAAGTGAAATTAATATTATATTAACTTGGATCACGGTACAGATCTGCACTGTTCTTTTTCCTCCATCGAGTAAAGTAGGCAATAATCTTTACTGAATGTGTGAATCTGCTGACAGTAAAGTGGATCAGTGCTAAAGCTTTCTTTGGCAACATCACCCTCTGCTGTGCCATAGTTGTAATTCCACACTTTGATTGCAGAATCACCTCCTCTCTTTCAGTTCTGCATTGAAACCGTGACACGGTTCACCAAAAATCCAATGTGCCTTCAAAAAGCAGGTTAGTTCTCAACTTAACCCCACATTGACAGTTTATATACAGTGTTCACGGGTGATTAAACGGTGTGAATATGTTACTCAAATAATAAGCAAGTCTTTCTGTACCATTTGCTGCATATGTCTGCTCTGACTTCCCGTGAGTGTCTATATGGTTTTGCCGCCCATCTACTTTTGTCTCTAGGAGCTGTGTTTACAAGCTACTACACCAGCAACCCACCTGGAGTGTATTTTTCCATGCCGGTGCTTCTAGCGCTCCTCTGGGCTCTGCTCAAAGCCGGCATGGTGTCTGATGTCTTCTCAGTCCTTGGCATCAGCTTGGCCCACAAGATAGTGGTCAGTGTGGTTTTCAGCCATATTTTAACAGTAATGTCAGGTTGTAGTCCAGCAGGGGGCAGTGCAAGTTGTACTTTGAATGGAAAGAAAAGAACTTCTAATTATTAACATAACCGCTATAGGCATAACAGTAAATGTTGAACTCTCTCTTCCTCTCTTGCTAGCCTGGCCATGAGTTTGTGTTGGCCCTCTTCAACCTTGTGAGAGAAAAGGGTCTCATGGGTTTTGTACCTGAACTTATGCAGCTCACATCCAAGGTATCTTGATTCCCAAACTTAAAGTAAGGCAGTTGGATCTTTAATTTGTATGTGTTATGTGAAAGTATTGAATGTGCATATATGTTGACAGATGGCCAGCGCAGGGCTGGTGCTGAGTTTGGACTGCCTTGACTGTGTAAAAAACACTCCTGAGTTCCAACAGACAACCTCTCCAAACTCACATGTTTCAGTGTCCGGCAACCAAAAGTAAGTTCTCCAGCCCCAACATATCGAACAAGTTATCAAACACGTTGTATGAGTGGCTTAATTACTCTATCTTTATTATAAAAGGTTATTCACCACTGCACCCTTTCCCGAGTACCTGAATTTGGCCCATGCCGTTGTGGAAATAGAGGTTAGTTCCTCTCCTCAGTAGATTACTTTTGTCAACTTATGCAAGGATGAAAATAAGTTTTTGTTCAGTCTGTTATTGTATTCAGGCCTGCCTTTATGTTTTCTGTCTGACAGCTCTGTACAAAGCAAGAGGACTGGAGGCGGATGGGGGAGGTTTTCAGGTCCATCTGCCAATCCAGTCAACGTCCCAACCAAGTGGAGCGAATCAGCGGTCGCATTGCGATTGCACTGCTGTCTGAGAGTAAAGACAAGCTGTCACTGCCCTTTGCTGCCTTTGCTGAGACAGGTGAAAAACTGTTAGATATTAAAAAAAAAAAACAGGATTCTGTAACTGTATGTAATGATTTCTGATTATTTGATTGATCTGATTTCCAGTGTGTCAGAATGAAGGTGACGACAGCCTGATCAGGAGTTTTTTAGGCAGAATTGGGGTCTCTCTGATGTTAAGATACCACAAAACACATCAATGGGCCAAGGTAAATGAACTCTTGTGTGTTTCACACGCCTTTCTTCTTTTTTACATTTGATCTGTTGTGACCTGTTAGCCATTTTGAGTCAGTTCAGTCCTCGAAACGATGTGTGTGCCTGTAGCACAACATTCACGTTGCAGTTTCCTGGACTGTCTTCACTCAAGGGAGCTTATAAAGCCAGCTATCTAATCTATGTTACTGAATGAAAAAAAAGTTTTTAAAAAAGTTTAAAAACTTAATTTCCACATTGTACAAAAACAGCTCCATGCTGTTCTTTTTTATGTCATGTAGAACCTTTTTGGCATGATGGTAACACAGGGATACGGCAGATATACAAACATGTTATCACAGAGTATCACTTTCTTGAATATGTATAATTTTAGATGTACTAATGTTAGCAAGTGGGTGTTGCCTTGTATTGTGTGTGCATGTAGGGTCGGAGGGTGGTGGAGGTGCTGTTCATTTCAAAAGTCAACTACTCAACACTGAAGGGTTTGTTTGGCAATGAGGATGGAGCGTCACGCTGCTACCTGGTCACTGTGGCCACTGAGCTCTTCCTCCTGAGTGGCAGCGTGGAAGGAGCTCTTAACACACTCCGAGGTAACAGCTCTGACCCTGGAAGAAATAGGTTGACTGGCTGAGCTGATCTTATATTCAGTTTCACAACTCCATGACTTAAAAATGTAAACTAAGAATTACATGTCAAGCAAACCAGTAAAATTTTATTCTATGCATTATTTAGTGTAAATGTCTTTCAGACATTTTTAGTTTTTCCCTCAGAGTTTTAAAGGCTCCTGTTGACAGTGAAGTTGTAGATTGTTGATTATACAGCCTTATACTATATAGTAGGCCTTCTGTGTATACTGTTGTTGTTTCTTTCTTTTTGGGTAAGTCATCTTGTAGATAATGCTTAAAAATGTGTTTTAAAAAAATGTCATTTGCCTTTTGTTTATGCGTTTGTTCATTCAGAAAACAAATGGTTCCTGAGTTCGTCCTTGTGGCCGTGTGAGCCTGCTGATCTGGAGAGTAGGGCTCGTGTGTTGATACGTCTGGCTGAGAAAACCTCTCACAGAGACACGCTGGATGTCCTCCGTAATCTCCCCGGACTCAAGGAACCAAACGGTGAGGGGGAAAAAGTATTTTCATTGCCTTGAATTATTAAGAATCCCAGTTTATATCCCTTTAATATGCCATCATATACCTGTATTATTAGCCTGTATAAGGCTCAGTGTATCAGACAGTGCCAAGACACAGAACAACTTCATTTGGTCGGGGCCCAGACCTGTAGCTTGTTCGACTCAGTTGAGTCCCTGTTTACACCTGACATTAACAAAAGAAAGAGACGCATTGAGGACACATTGAGATCTGATTGCTTAGAATAAATAAAACATACTGCTCAAAATCAACAAAGCAGATACATGCAGTGTTACTACACACACACACACACACACACACACACAATTATGGAGGTGTGAGTGGTTACGTCAAGTTTAGAAATGCAAGGTGAGCTGAGTAGTTTCTGAATAAGGTGGACAGTTAACTAGAATTCAAATGGTGGACTAAGAAACAACCTACTAGAAATAGTGTAGGTCTATTCTTTAAAATAAAATAGATTAATCCAAAAAAAAATTTAAAAACTTAATGTCAAGCCATGTGACGTACTGAAAGCAGTCTTGTGATCACAACACCCAAGATGCATATTAATGCAGGTGTGAATAGGAACAGAGGTCCAACCTACAAGCTCACAACACTTTCCAAACATTTCACAAGACTTTGAATGACTCAGCAGTGTTCTCAGCATAAACAGAATTCTTTATTCTTCAATTCAATCCATTAGCTTTCACAAAGTGGTTGCATTTTCTTTGCAGTGGTTTTCAATATTGTCTCCAATATCAATGTTAATAGATTTAGTTATTTCAAAGTAAAACCCAGTGCTATGTATGTCAAATCTGAAAAAGTGTTGTCCTGACTAAAAAGCACAGTTTCATACACAGAGCTAAAAGATGACCCTCCGTATGATTGCATGTAATTGTGTATGTTTTCTTTTCCTCAGACTTGGTCAGTATCTCCAGGTACCATCGTCTGTTTAACTCTCACCTGCAAGTGTGTGTGGACAGGCAGACACTTCCTGTAGCTTCAGACACTGTGGACTTCATGTTCTCTAAAAACCTGGCAGTTGACCACACTGTGCTGCAAATACTTTTACACAAACTGGGCAAACAGAACCTCTGGCTGCGGGCACGGGAAGTCTTCAGACGTATGTATCACTTCCTGGATTATTGGCTTGCTCCATTAATATGGATCATACATGCAATTATGGAAAAGCAGAAAGACTTAACAATTAAATGACCTTGACAATTGTTAATTTTAGTGTAATGTATATTCATCAGACTCTCTGAGTATGGGCTATTACCCAGGCGTGTCGGCTCCCCCTGGTTTAATGTCACTGATCGTCCCCTGTCGACTGAGGGAGGTGGAGCTGGCTCTTGCCTTTGAGATGTTCATCACTGTCAACGCAACAGCCATCCTCCATCTCTCAGAGACGGCCACTTGCTGCCTCAGCATCACTCTCAAAAGGTAACGTGTGTATTTGTGTATGTGAGAACCATGGTTGGATTATGTGATCTGTGTACGTGACAGTGCTGCTTCCTCCTCTCCCAGGACTCAAAGCTGCGAGAGCGAGTACCTCTCCGCTGGTAGCCGCCTCCTCTCCGCAGCGTGTATCCCTCAGCCCAAACTAATCNAACTCATCGCAGGAGCAAGTGTTCACACTTGACGTTTCCTCTGCTCGATGCTGGCTCCGGCACAATCATTTGTGGGCCAATGAGGTGTGGACGCACTGAGCCAAACCGCAGCCCCTGAAGAACTTAACTTCCCTTTCCTTTGAAACTGCTTATGTTCCAGAGACATCATTTGATTCTGAAATGGAAAACAACCGATGAAATCAGGAAAACGAACGCGTGTGCATTTCCTTTCTGAAATGGTATGGTCATGTTTCAATTTAGCCTCTGAATAAGAATCAGAAAATCAAAAACAATCACAACCAAAGACTGACGCCAAAACTTTTCACTGTTAGTTTTTTACAAAGCTAATAACTTATTTTTGTTCAAATTTGTTTTAAAATATGTTAAAGGATTTTTTTGTTCTTCCTTGTTGATTCCTGAGGAGTTCTTTTAGCTGATTTGTCTTTGATGTCACTCAGTGTTTGTCTGATTTGCTGTTTAAAAAAAGAAGTCTGTTGGGGGACAAAGTCTAGCATAATTTTGTAGGGTTATTAGATTTAGTTTATAACACAAATGTAAATAACTTCTGAGTGTATATAGGTACATATTTATAATGGTGTTTAGTCTTTGACAGTATTATGTTACCCTATTATATTACTGATTGTCAAAACCTCAATTGTTGCTAGTTCAAGAGCTGTGATTCACATTTTCTTTGTGTAAAGTTTTTATATAAAAAAAAAGAGTTGTTGAAGAGTTGTGTTCTTCACAAAAGGAAAATAAATCCACAAATGTTTTCTGGAATAAAATGGGTAATTAAAATCACATTGCTATTGTTTTTGTTTGTATCAAATAGCATCCAATAGTTTCCATCTTAATAGCAGCTGCCTGGTTGTGTGTTTAGCCACTCTGTGGTGGTGAGGAGAGTGTAGTGTAATGCTACTATAACATCACCATAAGAGAGAACCTGGTTTCCTGGTTTTCAGTTGGGAATGATAGACGCAACTACTGGAATATCAGTCAGAGTTAAAGGGGTGAACTTCTGTGCATAAAGGTGTTACACAGTAACTGCACCACCAGGGGGAGGCACTGGACTGTGGTGAGATGAACAGTAATGTGAAGCATGATCCGTTTCATTTTACAAAAAAAATGGTGAAATCATTTTTATCACGTCCAAAACGTTCAGGTCAATTCTGACATTGTCAAGATGCCCACACCCGTTTGTGCCCTTTAATTTAGCATTTATAAGCAGTGTATAAACATTTAATAACTGGTTTATAATGTAGCTGTAAGCAGTCGTTGCTGTTTGTTACCATTATAACTTTTATTGAGTGTCTAGTCACTAAACTGTAACCCTGGCAACCAGCCTTAAGGTACATTACCGCCACCAGCCACAAACCTGTAATATAAAATATGTCTTTATAGGAGAAGTTATAATTGTTGACAAATACTGTATTTTAATAACCCTTAAAGTTACCCTTATGTCTGTTTGCCGCTACATTATAGTGTCATTCTAAATAGAGGGACTTTAAGTAACGCATCATTCAATCAGATGATCATGATGATCTATCATTGAAAATGGCCGGCGCCAACACACAGGCGCCAATGTGTGTGTCATCATAGGATAGAGATGCTCCTAACACAGAAGTGTTTGTGTTTTTTTTTTTCTTTTTGCTCCGAGCAGTGCTGTCTTAATCATGTTAAGACCACCCCATTGCCTCAGTACTGACCCTGACTGCCCTCCAGACCCTAGCATGTGTCATCTCAAGGCAGTGCTGCAGCATGTGAAAGAGGGAATTCTTCTTCAGACTGAAAGAAAAGAGCACTCAACCCACTGATTCTGCAGCCAGCGTCATTAGGGCTCATCGGTTGCCTGCGGTGGCTTTATGCAGGGCCTGTGTGAAACATACCGCTCTGTGGAGTATTCCTTCAGGAGAAATGTTTTCTCACTTTGACGTATCAACATAACCTCTGGCATGTTTTCAAGCGATTCATCCTTTTATCTGCCCCTCCTTGCTTTGATCACTTTTCGAGGTTGCTGTAAATCAACCTGCCATCCCCCTTTTTGACCAGTCACTGTTATTCTTTCCTTTAACCCCTAAGATGAATGGAGTAACATTAGTGACCTGTGTCAAATTAAGTTAGTTAAAGTGTCTCATATGATCTCACTTATATAATAACCTAACCACAGTTCTGACTTGTCTGCTGCAAATACTAATGTCCAGCTATGCTTGTGTAACCTTTGTTTTTGTTACTGACCTGGTCCCTCGCTTTATCTTTTCTTTCAGCAGCCAACCATGTGGATACAACCCTAAACAGACAGGAATTATCCAAATACATCAGCGTCACCCAATGAGCTGAGCCGCTTCAGGTGCTGGATCTAGAAACAAATTCATTTCATAGTTAAAATGATCAAGTGATGATTAAAGTGGAGGTCACCTGTATGTGTTACATGTTAATCTTGTATTGTGTGAAAGTATATGTGTATATATATATTGTGCAAAATATTGTAAACATTTACTACAGCAATAAAGGGTGTTTTTTGCACACGGCTGTAATGATGTACAGCACCTTTAATGAGGAATCAAACAGGAGGAAAGAAATGAGAGAACAGCTGCACTGTGCGTGAAACACATGCTACTGTTTAGATGATTAGTTAAACCTGTTGGTCCGCTTTAACAAAGCCATTCTCCAAAGGGTTGGAGTCTTCCCAGTTTTACAGTGTTTGTGTTTGTGCTCCTGTTTCAGATAGAGGAAGGTAAGAGAAGAAAGAACCACAGCAGATCAATATCCTTCTACATCCCAGGACTCTAACAAGTCCACAGACCACTGTTTACTCCACCGTACCGCATGTTGTCTAAGAAGTGCTTCACAGAAATGAAGCTGTATATTTACAATAGGCCAGCTGAATGGTGCCCTTGTTGTGTATATTAGGCCCCCAAAATGAGCTATGTTCTCTGTTAGAGTTGAGGAAAGCAGATGTATAGCCTACATAAAACAAGAGGATACATTAGCCTACTTAATTAATCAATATGAAAGCACACTAAGCTGTTAAACATGCTTTTAAATGTTGTATCACGTCTGAGCTAAGGAGTTTAGTTTACGTATGTTATATCCACCAGCTGGGGCCCTTTATACTGTATGAACATCAGTCAACTGTGTATCCAGTGAGAACGCTACATTTAATACAATGAATGCCTCTGGGTTTTATCCCGTTTCCCTTCATTCTTCCCATTCTAATGTTAAAAATAACTTGATTAGTTTTTTTGGGGGGGGGGGCAAAAGCTGCTCCCCTAATCCCTGACGGACGTGAGCGTTGGGGCGTTCGTGGCGACCATAACTCCCTCAGGTCGGGCACGATTTGGGCTCACACCCTCTCTCTCTCTCCCCTCTTCTCCCTTATCTCTCTCTCACTCTCCTCACATCTCTCTCTCTCCTCTCTCCCTCTCTCTCTCTCGGGCGGAAGTGGGTTCATTTTTCTCTCAGTCGGATAAGAGCGGCTCGAGGAGCTGCAGCCCGAGCCACACGCGCACACCTTATGTTTATGGTAACGCTGGTTCGCCCGAGAGTAAACAACGGCAACAGCAGCAGCGAAGTAAAGGACGCAGTTCACGTCCGTACGGTCGCCGGACCGTGTTTCTCCCGGTTGTAGGGACCGTTGTCCACGCTGCCGGAGGAACAACCTCTGCGCATTCCTCCACGCAGAGAGAGACAACCGACACCCTCCGCGGGGAGAGGAGAGCTGGAAGCGGCCTCTTCGCAAGGTGGAGCCGGGAATTCACCCACGGAGGCTCTAGTAGACGTCCTGTCTGATGTGTTGGCTTTATCGCAGACTCCGTGTGTTTGTTTTTGATGCTCCAATGACCCACGGCACGCTGTGAGCTCGTTGCTTTGATGAATAATTTACGGTGTCGCTGTCCGAGGCTCGCGCTGAGACTACCAACCGACCGCTGGCTGCTGCGCCCGACGCCGTCTGAACGGGCCCCGATGGTGGACTAGAGAGCAACACCACAACGCAGACACGGACCTAAATTGGAAAGCAGCAAAGGAAGAAGAACATTAGAAATCCTTGCATACTCGTCAGGGTGTTGTGTCGTAGCGCAGAGCCCCGTAGTCATGTTGCCGAGCCGGTGGGGGAGGAGAGACGGAGCCCCCACTATTTCGACGCCGACCCAGTGTCACTCCAGAAAAACGCCTTACACAAGAGCTCTGTTATGATCTTAGCAGCATAAGTATTGTGTTGTTTTTTGTTACCTCAGAAACAATCTTGGAAGAACTGGCTACCTCCTTGTTTTGTATCAGCTCAGAGTTGTATAATACAGAGACAAATCTGTAAGTCGATAAGCACCGTTTTCACTGTTGAACTGACTTTAATACCTCATGAATCTACCTCAAATACAACTTTATTTTCTAGACAACACAACGGGCCGATGTGTCCCCAAATGAATACCTCCGCCTCCTTGCTGCGCATGTTGTAAACTTAGCCTGTGTTTCGGTAACGCTGCAGATGGCTTCGTTTCCAGACTCGGACCTGCAGACCTGCCCGCTCTGCAAGGAGCTGTGCGGCTCCTCTGCTCCCATTTCCTCCAGCTCTTCTACCTCGTCCTCTTCCTCACATACCTCGTCCTCCTCCAGCCAGACTACCAGGAGGCTCCACGTCCTGCCCTGCCTCCACGCCTTCTGCAGGCAGTGCCTAGAGGGCCAGCGAAGTCCCGGGGACCAGCTGAAGCTGCGGTGCCCCACCTGCGACCAGAAGGTGTCCATCTCTGAGGCCGGTGTGGACTCCCTGCCCTCCTCCAACTTCCTCTTCAGCAACCTGCTGGACGTGGTGGTGGGCTCAGAGGAGCAGATCCAGAACAAGAACGGCCTCCATCACCGGGGGGGCCTGGGTGGAGGCTCCTCCGGCTTCCACCACCCTCACGGAGGCCTGCTGCACCCTCACCACCTAGGAGAGCCTCAGTGCAGCTCCTGCGATGAGGAGAACCCAGCCACCTCCCACTGCCTTGACTGCCAGGAGTATCTGTGTGACAACTGTGTGCGGGCACACCAGCGGGTGAGGCTGACCAAGGACCACTTTATCGAGTCCCTGGGAGAGAACCTCCACCTGGGCCGGATGAACGCCAACAGCAACTCTGGCCAACCAGGGGTGTCGGTCTCGCTCGCGCAGTCCCTGCAGAACAACTTTGCCCTGCTGTCCCTCTTCCAGGACCGCATGAGCTTCTGCCAACACCACGACAATGAGGTGAGTGGAGCAGAGTCAAAGCACAGCACCTGGGGCACACTGAAGGGCTCTTTACTCATATGCATAACGCTTTTTACAGTTTAAAGAGAAATAACACCACACATTTTGGGGTGTGGTGTCATCCAAAGCTGCCCTGTTGATCCTGTGGTGTTGATAGGGTGATAAACATTATGTGTTTTCTGCACAGACACACTCCTATAGTGTAATAGCATTATGTATGTAGTATAGAAGCATACTGGGGGCCATATGGCCTTAGGTTCAAAGGGAGCTGAGTGGCTCTTCACCTAGTTCCCTGGAGACAAATAGGCACGTGTGCTGAGCTGGATTTACACACACAGACTCAGCGTGCACACACACACACACACACACACACACACACACAGACTTAGCGTACACACACACACACACACACAGACTCAGCGTGCACACACACACACGTATAAGCATAGACACATGCAGAGTCTGGTTAATCTGTACCACACCATCCATTCAGGGCAGAGAGAGGCCCCTCTAGTAACTGCACACATGTTTCTGTGACTGTTAGAAGTCCTATCCATGGACATATTATGGAGATCTAGCTTTTCTCTGATAATGGGAAAGACAAGTTGGAAGTCAGGGCCCAAAGTTCTTTTGGACCCTGTGATCGGGGAAAAGTAAACTACAAAGGCTTGTAGAACAGGAAAGCAGCTTTTTCTTGGTTTAGTCATATGGTCAGGAAGAATAACAAATAGCACTAGTAGGGGGTCTTGGAATGCCATTTTTGTACCACTTCTGGTTTCTGTTTATGAGCTCAGACGTCCGCCCTGCTGCTGGACAATATGCTTCTTGGCCACAAGGCCGTGAATAAAACACGGTTTCATCTGAGCAGTTAGTCAGTAAGCAAATGTTGAGTGCAGTAATCAGCTGATGATCCCAGTCGGACATCTTCCCAGTTCTCTATATAACCTAAACAAGTTGGCAGGACTTGAAGTGTCTGGAGCAATACATTGAAGCATATTTGGAAGTAAATGAAGTACTTCGTCCTGCACTGCTACAGTGGAAACTAACAGAAAAGGGAGCCGTGTGGAGTTTTCTCGTGAACAAACAAATTTATGTTTCCATTCAGTGTGTCAACATTGTGGGAGGCCTCACAAACACGTTGAAGGCATGAAACATTTGCTTAAGAGATTTTCTGAAAGACATTAAGCTGTGCATTGTTTACACCCATGCTAGCTCGCAGGCGTCTTCCTTCGCGTCTCTGCAGGCGCGTTGCTGAGCTTCTTGGCTTGTCGCCGCCACCTATCGGGCAGCAGGAATGCAGACTGCGTGCGCTAAAAGGGAGCCCACTCCTAAAACATATTGTTGTACAGCACCACTAGTGGTCAAAACCTCCACAGGGCACCTTAAGTGCTGAACGCTAAAGGCTGGAGGCTTGTGAGAAGCAAGAGAGAGCCCGCTGTTTTGAATGTGTATATGCGAACTCCGCGTCAGTCAGGTTAATAACAGCAGTAGAGCGTGTGTTGAAATGTTGTGTAAAATTGCCAGTTTAATGAAGTCCCAGTAAGTTCCTCTCTTGCAGTGTTAGGACACTTCTTCTACCCTGGCTGTCAAACAGACACGTGTTGCTTGGGCTTTGTAAATGTGCTGAATGTAAATAAAAATGCAGCCATATCAATACATGAGTAACTCTGTTTTCAAACATTAAGTGTCCAGTCACAAAGGACCAGTTCACATTTCCAATTAACTTTTATTTCTGTGACCCCCCATCCCCCCCGTACACCCCCCCGTCCATTGCCAGTAAATAGGTGGATTCAGTTTTCCAGTAAGGGCTTCATTTCCCAGTAATGCCTCACTTGCTCACTCACTGGGCCTCTGCCCTGGGGGAGGGAATGACACAGGAGAAGGCTGCTCTTTCTTTACCTATGAGCACTGATCAAGCACAGTCATTGTCCATCACCCAGCTGCACATCCATCATGTGTGAAAATAGTTTCTCATATATAATCAGTCTGTTTGGAAGATGAGTTTTGGCCTTTTTGGGATTCTCACATTTGGTAATGAAGTGTAAAATGCTAGCCCTCTCACTGTCCGCTTCTGTTTTGTTAATCCCCAGGTTGCTTATCTAATGCACATTTACTCACTTCACACTTTAACGGGACGGAATACCGTCGGTGGGTCGAATGGCCACTCCCCCAACACCTTTATAGTCGGCTTATGCGGGTGGGGATGTGCCCGCCCATTTCTATTTCCCTTCAACTACTGCAACAACCATAAATACATTTGATTTGGGACGTGGTTGGACAACGTGTCCTGCGGCTGTCGACCTAGCCGGCTGGTACATTCAGAAAATGTGTCGTTTCCTCAAGTTTCAGTGAGCCCGGAGTGTTGAAACCGCTTTAGCCTCAGAGTCCCTAATGTCTCAGTTGTGTGAGCGGTAAGAAAGGACCGTGTTCTATTTTGAATGCTATTGTCCAGAAAAGCTCGGAGCAGATATTTCTGTCTTGTAGTTTTATGGTTGTGGGAACTGGTCACTGAAGGGGACAACACAGCCCTTCGCTGTAAGAAGGAAGGAATCTCATCAAAATGGTCTTTTACAGTGTCGCTATCATGATATTTAATCAGATTTGCAGTAGCGCAGAAACACTTGGCAGGTTAAAGTTATTACTTCTGTGTTGTTTTTATAATGTAAACTACTGACTCTATTTCCACTCTTCCCTCTCACGCGAGCCTAGAGCACATACTGCATGTGTGCAGTCAGCTGGCCGTCAGCTGTAGCCATTGCTGTGTATTCAAGTGCAACTCTTAACAGAAGACACAAGGCACTACATCCGCTTTTGGCGTGGGCTACTTCTTCGAGGCCGGCGTGGTGTGTCCGGGCCTTCATACCGATATGAGAGGACTGTGTAGTGTGATTGTGGAGCAGAGTTTTCCCCAGGAGCTGGGTTCTGTCCCCTCTGCAGTATTACGTAATCCTGCCAAGGAATTTCTCCTCTCCCGGGAGACTGGTGGTGACGACGGTTACTGCTCACTGCTGAACCACAGCAACGTTTATTTTTTTTAGGTTATTGTGAAGTGTTCAGTCCCTCGTGTCTAAAAGGGGTACTAGAATACAAACAAATTCAGTGTCTTTTAAAAGGATTTTGTCAAGAGGAAATTTGGCACAGATGTAATTAATAACTGCATTACAGCTCTACACTGTATCGGCCTTAGTGAACATTAGCATCAGACTGACACAATGAGCTGCTCTGTATCCTAAAAGTCACAGTTAAACCAAACCAGTAAAACCAGTTACTACACCGTTACCTATAGTCAATTTTCAAGTCATGTCACTCATTTGCCTCAAAGGACTTTACTTTCTCTGCACCATACGACACTTTATATCTTTAGACCCTAGATTTTATTTAAGGAAAAACTACCAGAAACAGTCTCTGGAACATGTATATGCAGAGTAGAAATAGTTTCAGCTGGGGGAGGTTGTTACATTCCACTAAGCAAGATAAACTCCAAAAATGTCAACAAAAGGAAATATTCTTACACCTATTTTTCTTATTAAACTGTAAAAAACCAACCCGTTCACCTTCTGAATTCAGGTTTCTGTCTTTCTGTCTGTCTTTCTTAATTGCCTTGTCAACTCATCATAAAACACACTTCTTTCACACAGGACCAAAATCTGTCTTGGTTAGTCTTTCCACGGTTCACCAACTCTGGTTTGGCCAAATAAGCCAGCTGAGCAGCAGCTCTAACTCCATCTTTGGAGTCAGACCTTTTAAATTCGCAGAATAAAATGACAAAAATTGCGCACCCAAGAAAAACCCGAACCGCAATAGCCATGTAACAGTTTTCATTTCCACTGGTGACATTGGCAGCTGCTGGCTAAAAGTAGAAAGCCTCTGTACAAGAACATACATAGTGCTTGATTCAGTCTTTGGAAATTTATATAATCTTCAAACTCAGCAAATCTGCTTAAGTCCCGGATATTAGAAAAGCAGGAATGGTGATACATTGACGGGGAGGGACATGCAAAATATCTCACTTCATGTTGAACTTCATCCACTGTAATGGAGAAAGAAGTTGTGTTTTTTTCTTTTCCTTATGGGGCCGTGGAGTGAATATCACATTTATTTGCTTTGGCTCGTGTTTTCTCCCAATTCTCTGCACACAGATACATGAGTAAGTTTGAGTTAACCCATTGTTAATGCACACACTTCAACTGAAGATAACCTGCTAATACAAAGTGCCAGAAATGGTAGAACCTAATTGATTCGCAAACAATGGAAACAGAAAGATGGAGCGTGAAATCAAGGGTTTCAGTTGGAAGATAAGGCTCCTCGGGCAGCAAAGGGAGTGCCTGATAAGAATATATAGGGTATGTGCACACATGAATGAATATGTTGGCCTGCTTAAACAGCATGAATGTCAGTTGTTGCTCATCTGAAGCACTGGCAGTCAGTGAGGGTCCCACGTTGTGTGTGTGTGTGTGTGTGTGTGTGTGTGTGTGTGAGGTGGAAATGTAAAATTGGATTACATCAAAGGACTGCCCTGGGCTTGCTGTGATGTCACCCTCCAACATAGAGATACATACACAGCTTCATCTGAGAGACACCTAATGACATGCTAATCCTACAAAATGTCACTCTGTGCTTTAGATTAAACTGTTGTCACCGTAACGACGCGCCTGGCTGTGCACGTGCATGGCGTCTCAGCAACACACACACACACACACACACACACAAATAGTATACTAGTAGTGGGGGGTTGCTGAAGCAGGCTGAGAAAGAGAATTGGTTGCTGGGCAATGAGCGCCTACAATGCGTCGTGTTTATAAGGATGAGATGAAGTTGAACTAATCAGTTTGACGGCCTACCATCTCCTCGGGCCATTTTTGTCTAGCTTTAGAGTGAGGAAGACAGTGGGATGTTCAGTTGCAGTGGGAGGTCTAGGAGTTTTATTATAGTTTGTCACACAATTCAACTTTTCTGTGTAAAGTTTTACTGCTCCATTGTGTAGCTCTGTAGAGGAAGAA